TTCATTTAAGGTACTGTCCAGGCACCTGCCTCGAGGAAAACTACGAAAACCTCTGTCCTGATTGGCGATATCTGAACCCGGGGCCTTCCGATTACGAAGCGGATGATCCTAGCCGTTGCTTTCCCGTTCACGATGACGCGTGATGCTTTTTAAGCTCGAAGGAACGAACGATAATTTAGAGCGAAAGTGCGACACGCCACTCACTGCTAGGGTAAACTCGGTTCATCACGAGTACTAACATGGCGTCCCATTATGTTCATTAATTCAGCCAGCCGGTAGTAATAACTGACGAGTTCGCTCTGTGGACATTCGTCGTCCTCATTTTACCCGACGGTTATAAAAAAATGGGCATCGTTAAGAGAATTTTAGGGACATAATTTTCAGTTTCCTTAAAAACACGAATTAGACCACATAATTTAGTGACGTAATTGTTCATGTCGGGTGTACTCTTTATATAACCTATATAACGTCTGCCCCTAAACCCCCCAGTTTATAAAATGGGCGATGTTAGTGGTTGGCGTGCCACTGAAAATCCAACCCAAACGGCAGTTCGCGGTTCTTGCTTCATTTGTCGTCGGCTACTCGAAATGTCTCTTGTGGGAGGAAAAGCCTAGAACACAAGTCACGCTTACGTCTGTGTGAATTTATGAACGAGAGTGAGTTTCGTTTTGTGTGCCTAGATGCAGACATTTTTATGTATACAGACATAGCATGTGCATTCATGTTTGCACATGACACGTGTGTGTACACACGTGTTTGTGTGTAATTTATGTCGACCGCGCACGTAATGTAAGTTACTGTAGGTTTTTATTCAAATTATTATTTGGTAGTGACTGTCTGAAGGAATGTAATGCTGGTCTTTGCGAGTGCTTAATTCATGGGAATCTTATCGAGAGGTGTTTGTTGTGCGTGCGTGCGGTCGACTCATATTCCAACGATCACAGCCTCGTGTTAATTTATTTAAGTTCTAGTAATTTTCAAGCAGCGACGTCGGTGGAATTTAAAGGCAGTGGTAAAGGGGGGGGAGCCCCCTAGTCAGTCTGTCCGTACACAGAAAATAGAACGGTTTTTATGTGCCCTGCGTGCGGATTTGAGCTTGGAGGCCAAAGCTCGGCGCCACTGTTCCGAAAATACTCCCCATTGTTTCCGAGAAATATTTAGAATTGCTGACACTTGGAACACGCCAAAATAATTTGAGGCTCTGATCACAGCGATTGCTGACAGAGGTCTCTAGTGTACTGGGAGGAGAGCTTGTTCGCGTGTTTCCTGTAATTTGTTGTGTTGGCTCCTGAGGGGACTACACAGCTGAAACAAAAGAACACCTCCGTGCGAAATGAGAACGGGAAGTCCCAGCAGGGACTAGGTACAGTAACAAGTTCGTTTATTTAAGCAGTAAATCGTGGTTCTGGTTTTGCGTTGCTCTCCGGAAGATTGCGTAATGCAAGTCTGAAGGTAAGATAATTTCCTTTCTGATTAAAACGATTGGGTAAATTCTGGTGTGTGTGGAAGTTCGACGGCAGTTTTGGAACACGTGTTCTGTCGCAGTCTGCGTGCGCCAAGACGCAAATGCGTGATGGCTAGATTAATGGTTGCGCCCTCGTGGCTTGGGTCTTGTTTGTTACTGCCATAGCATTTTCAGAAATTTAACACTTATTAAATAATATAATGGGAATATGAGTTTATGTCCACAGATGCTACATGAGTCTTGCGTCTGTTCCGAACAGGGTCACAGTAACGATGTTTTGGACATAACTAGGGCGATTCGCCAGTTAATCTTCAAAATGTTCGCCTCCGACGAACTCCGTGACATGAGTTCATCTTTAAAAACTGATAATCTCTAACCAGGTCAATAAATCTTCAGCTTTGTGACACCCAAGATTCGTATCCGTGTCCACAAAATCCCGCCACTGGTCCATATCCTAAACTGGACGCGTTCAGTCAATACCGTCACGCTTTGTCTAGGATCCATTTTAGTATTGCCCTGCCATCGATTTTCAGGTCTACTAATTGGTTTTCCGACTACAATTTCGTATGCTTTTCGCCAGTCTCTTCCATGCGTGCTACACACCTGGCTCCTCTCATCTCATCTCTTAATGTCACCCTAATTACATTCAGCAAAGACTGCAGACGTTTCGTGCATGCAGCGTTCTCTTACACCACAATCTCTGGTTCTGGTAGTGCGTGTTTAAGAATTAATTGCGCTCGAAGGCTCTGTCGCAAAGTTACTCTCCCCATTGAAATCCGCATCCGGTATTTGTCTGCAGGAGCCCTGCCATTCCTCAGAATATTCTCTGCGTCTTATCGCGAAGGCAAGTAAGTGTAGATTGAAATAGGACGGACGGACAGACAATACAAGCGACAGTCAAACTGATTTCAATGGCTGCCTGATGTAATGACACGCACTGCGAAGCAGCTGCGACAAAGGAACCTTCCAGAGCGACGATAGTGCGGTCTCGCAAGCGAAGGCCCTCTCAGCTTGTCTGGTGCCCGGTTTGAATCTCGGACGGAGCACAAGCTGTCCTGACTGATTTTTGCAGTTTTCCTCAGTCCTTCCAACCGAACGTGGAAATATTTATTACCTTGGAACAGACATACAGCTTCCTGTCCAACTCTCCCCAGTTCACCGTCGATCTATCGATGCGCCCATCTCAATCTAGTTTATTTAACTACGCTGTGTCAAATGCAGACGCTACTCAGGGGCGAACGATTCCATGAATGGTAAAAGGTAGAATTGCTATCAGAAATTGCGCAGTGTAAAACTGAACACTAAATTATTTCGTGTTTTCTTGAAAGTAGATCTTCGATGAAAACACTCTCCTTTCCCTCTGTCTTTTTAAATTACTGTTCTGACGTCACAGGTTGGATGTTTACAGTTTCAGGCTCAAGATGTCTCTCTAAGGTGGAATATCCCGAGGCAACGTCACTGTAAAAGCGTAACAGTTCCATTTTTAGTCGCTGTGAAGGTAGATGTCAGTTCAGTTCAGTTATGACAGGTGGTGACATCTACACTCTCCTCGTGTGACTGATTCTTCATGTAGGCGTGATTTCAGTTTTCTGGTGTACTTGTTCGTTTAAATATTTCGACTGTACGTACGTAGATTTTTTTCCAGCGAGTTATAAAAGCTGCATAAAGAATTTTCTGCTGTAATATATATGACAGTACCCTTTTCCGAGGCAGTTGCAGTCGTCCTTTATTTCTGCCGTCATAACCTGTTAAATCTCACTGGCGATGAACAGAGCAAAGTAGACATTTGCTCACTTTGCCGCTCAGATTGTTCGAAGCCTGCGCCAGAGTTGTCTCTTTTTTGGCATAATCTGCGCATGTTTTTTTTTTTTTTGAATAATCTGGACACAAAATAATTAAGATGTACTTAAAATACTTCAGGTCTTGTACTTTTCCGTCTACGCTCCGTGCAGGTGAGGATCTGCTGTATTAATGAGGTTTTTAATTATTTAAACTCCAATTTTTAGCAGATTAAATTCGGGAAATGCTTTGTGCCACTCAGTTGAGAGTCCATCTTGCAGTCTCGTATCGTATTTTAAACGCAGATTGTTTCTCGATACGCGCGAACGTGTCTGGTGTCTGATTGCGAGCGCGCGGAATGTCCCCGGAAACGTTTTCAAGCCTTCGAAGGATTTAATTACAATATTTTGAGTTGAAAATCTCTACATGGGGCCCGATTATAAACCTTTCCGGAGCTATTGCTAAAAGCTAAGAAAATGACATGCCGCTATTCGAAGCACCTAATTAGACCCATCGTAGGGCATCTGATATACACACGTAGTCGGTGTATAGTTCGGATTCTCTGAATATCAGACCTCAGGAATCGAATGCCGGTCCTCCAGAATGCGAGGCATGTGTTGATGACATTCCGACCCAGTGAACGCTGGATGGGGAGGGCCCCTCTCCGCTCATGAGGGCCGCAGTCCATAAAGCAGTCCTGCTTCGGAAGGAATAAAGTAGAAATGACTGCGTGTAGCAGAGTCCTCGAGAAGCTGCTGGTTGCTCCTCTAGTTGATGAATCCACCCGAATAATGTGGAACCCGAAGGCTCATCGCCGTGCTCACAAAAGCCCTCTGCCGACCCGCGTCCCTCCCAATCCAGACACTGTTACAAGCTCAGATTCACGTCACAGAAGCCACCCGTTCCTGGAAGCAGCTAGCTGATCGTCCGTCGTTCGTTCTTTGGGTCGGAGGCGTTTTTAAATTCCGTAAAACCTTTCTTTATGGCTCCTGGTAAACATCGCAGGTGAACGCATTTTGGTGTTCCCCCCCCCTCCCTCCCCCCACACGTCCTTTATAGACAGTTTATCCGCTGTTTACCGCCCCAGCAGAGTTCCTCGTTACTGACTTGCTATTCATTTCCCGGACTTTTACTGTCTCGTGCGGAGAAACGCCAGGCATTTGCCGTTCGCCTGGTCTGCAGAGCCTCGTCGATTGTTTGGAACGGCAAGATTTTTAGGGGCTGGAGCGAAGGCAGTGTTGGACTTGAAGCCATGAAATAAATCCTTTTCACAAACAAACGACAAATTTTTCCTCTAAATTCTTCCGTTGTTTTGGTGCGTTTGGCCCCTGTGCCAGGATTAAGAAAAGTAGGACACGGAAGATATTTTTTCTTCGAAGGCACTGAAGACTCGCGTTATGTCATATTACAAAAGCGAAAAAATGGTAATCTAACTCTAAATTGTAAGATTTGAGGTTTTCGCAGCGGTGAGTATGAATATTTCTAAAAATAGTATTAAAATATATTAAAATTGTCCATCAATCACAATAAAGTAATATTACTTTATTGTGATTGATGGACAATTTTAATATATTTTAATACTATTTTTAAATGAAATCACAATATGACGCACCTACAATATCTTATGAAGATTTCTGTCTTCTAACTCTAAATTTATTGCAAAAATTTTAAAATTAGATCTACAACGGGCACGTCAGAGTTAATGTTGTATTTTAGTTTTCAGTCGCCTCACCAGTTTTCTCGTTCTTTGTTGCAGATCTTGTGAACGTAGCTGCACTGTGATGGACCGAGATCACGTGACGACGGTGAGTTTGATGCATAAGTGACAATATTTAATTTGGGGGGGGGGTATAAACGCTATCCATAAAC